GAAAGACTTGGCACCGATACAAGAAGCACCTACACCAGAAATAAAACAAGCACAAACTGAAGTGTTTGATGCGTTCACAAATTACCTTTTAGTACTTAAAGATTCAGCCAAACCGATGGGAGTGACGAAAGACTTGGAAGACTATCCATCCAAGGCCTGTGTGATACTTGACGAAGTCCTGTCTTGTGTAGACGTACGAGCCAAGATGGATAATTTGGAAAAAATCAAATCTCGCATCCATCATTCCATGCTGTATGATTCTTACAGAAGCAGTGATGATCACAAAAACTTTAACAAAGTCTACAACAGCGTGATGACAGCTTTCCTGGACTTTGTACGTTACTGTGAAGATAAACCTCCCAGAGATTCCTTTGGCTACAGCACTGAGTATAATACTTCTGATGACTAGCAAGATTGACACCTGTCAACTCCACATTAAAAGACTTTACTCACAGAACCACCTATCATTTCAGCACAGACAGCAACATGTTTGAACATTTGGACAATAATCCTAGATGGTGTGGAGTTGCGTTAGACGATTTATTACCCATCGTAGAGAAAAATGCCGACTATGATGATTACTGTCAAATGCAGAGGCATACAAAGCAGTACATACAAGCTTCCGACCCTACACAAGTCAAAGACGATGATGATCAACTGTGTAAACTGTACACAGATGTCATGAAAGCTTTCCTCGCTTACACGCAACATGGTGAACAACTCTACAGAAAAAAGTTGGTAGATGAACAAACCAGCAGCAGCAACGAGGCATAAGGAGAAAAAAGAAGACAAGCCTGAACCATTTCCAGAACATTAATTGCTATTAGTTTGAACTCTTAATTTACACCTTGTATATAGATGTGACAACAAAAACTTTTTGCTACCTAATTTTGTATGTATTTTTCTTGTCCAAGTGTAATTTATACCACATATGTAGGAAAACCTTTTGGGATTGTTATAAATACCTCTTCTCCTTATAGTAATATTCGGATAGGAAACTAACCTGCGATACCCAAACGCATAATATAGGGTCTGTTTCGTTTAGTAAATAGGCGTTGCCTGTGATGACAGATATATTTTAATTAACACAACTCGTGATTGACATTAATTCCTCACAATGATTTAAAGTGTTAGCTTGTCATGATTTAAACCAGTTTTTCAGAAGAATCAGTAAGAGAGAGAAGTCGATTTTTGTATCTGTTCCCTTATCTGAATCTGCTAACCTGAAGTGAGAAACCTGTTTTTACGACCCGCCACAGAAGTAACTTTCCAGTCATGTTTTCTTGAATTTTGCCATGAGATTAAGACTAAATTTGCGTTTTCTGATTTCGAATTACAAATGTATTTCTCTTAGATCGAATAATCATTAAAGTTTGGATAATATTATACGGTTTGTGGTGGTCGTCTGAGCTGACCAGTTCCGAGTAAGGAAACAGGGAACATTCAATTTTTTTTGGTAGTTAATCCCTCCGCCATCTTGGATTCTTTTGTTTTTAAAAAACTGTTAAGGTTTAAAAACCCTAACCCTAATAATCCTAACCCTAATAACCCTAACAACCCTAATTAGACACCATCGGATGTTCATATTTTTACCTTCAAGAGGGTTTCAGAAAAAATTTTATAAAAAAATTTCAGTTTTATTTTTAGCACTTGAAACTTGACACACGTAAAGTAGGGACAGTTCTTTTTGTATATACGTAATTTCAAAGTATTTGCTTTAAAATTACGGGAGATATAGCTTCACAAAGTTGGGAAGGTAACCACATTATCATTGACGGGGAAAGAGACTCAAAATCATTCCCTTTCAATAAAATAAAAAACGCCTATGTTTTTCATGATTCCCCCGCGATTGGTACCATTCCCTCCGCATTCCCTCTGCTTTTTAAAATTGTTTACATTGATTCCCCCACTTACATCATTACCTATGCAACTTTCATTCCCTCCCCAAACGCTCATTAACAAAATTGTTACCTTTTTTCAGAAGCTTATAACTTCCCCAAAATAGAAGTTTAAGACACGAAATTTATACACAATATAGCCAATGTCATATAGATCGTTTTCAGTCACGTGACCACTTTACAATTGGCCGCCATATTGGTGCACATGTAAACAGTGAACTCGTATCGCGTGAGCTCTAAAAAATGGTTTTGTGTGCGATTTTTGGCTGTGGAACCCGAACTGTTCGTGATAAAGGAGTTTATATGGCAAGAATTCCTTCAGTTGTAACAAATCAAGGCGACGAAATAAGAATTCTTAGCGAGGAAAGGCGAAAAAAATGGATTTCTGCCATCAGCCGAAAAGACCTCACGGACAGCATTTTGGAGCACGGACGAGTCTGTGGTAGACATTTTATCTCAGGGAAAGCTGCAAAAGTGTGGGATAGGTACGATCCAGATTGGATTCCAACCCAGAATTTAGGCCATAATAAATGTGATGCCGCAGAAAAGCTTCAAGCAGATCTAGAAGCTGCCGGGAAACGAGACGAGAGGGTCAGAGATCGTGAGATGAAGCGTGTTGCGGCAGAAAATGAAAAGCGGCTCAGGGAAGAAATCGAGGCCAAGCGACAAAAAATTGACGAACCAGGGGAAAAGGTCAGTGACAAACTTGCTTGCGACCATATGCCCTTGCACGTTGTAAACAAACCCCGAAACCATTTGATTGTAAGCTTCCAGACTACGAAAGGCTTTAAATTGCTTTTGCGTGTAAAAGCTGGTCTCAAGAACCAAATAACAGAGTAAATCTGTCGATTCAACCGGCGGAAGACAGTCAGGTTCGAAGTGTTTCCCCTCTATCAAGGCAGGATCGATTCCAATCGTCGAGATTTTCTTAACGTAGCGCTCTCTGACTTTCCCATCCAGCTTTTTAGCGTAATCAGACAGGGGAATTTGAACAACATTGTCAGGATCAGACGAAGAATTTTTTTTTTCCTCGGAAGCCATAATTTTCGACAGTGAACTGAGAAGAATTATAACTTTGGACTCTGTTTGCATATATTTCTTACTGAAACACGTGACTCGGATGTGCACCAACATGGCGGAAATTAATTCTGTGACGTCACGTGAAAACGATCTATAGTTTATGTCGTGTGAATTTCTTGTGATTTCATTAAGTATTTTTCATTTTATTAACATTTATCTTCCAATTTTCAGAAAATGAGACATGAAGATCAAGACAAATTTCAGATTATTTAGCCAACATTTTATCAAACTACAACAACTTATATACCACAATAAAGCTCTAAATAAGAGAAACACATTGGTGTCTTTATATTGTCTAAACTGTCTAATCCGCATGTGCTGGAGACGGTAAGAGGTTGAAAGGTTTAGGTAGTTACCCACTAACCCTGATTCCAAAAAAAATTCATAAAAAAATTAGGTTTCAAGTAAAGAACTCGCACTTTCACGTATTTATAGACATAGTCACTCACTATATTTGTACAAGGTTTCATATCATTTGCTTTAAAAGTCTAGAAGATATGGCAGTTAGGGTTATTTTTAGGGTAACCAGATTAACATCTTTGGGGAATCAGGCTAAAAATATCTCAAAGAAGCCCAAATTTGGTGTGTACATAGTTTGCAACATTCCCTATAAAGTGATTGTAACCAGCGTCCATTCCCTCTAATTTTAAAAATCTGACGCAAAGCAAAAAAACCTGGTATAGGCATAGATCCTATACAAGGCTGCACAGGAAACTCAACGTTGAAACTAGGGCTAGATTGCAAAACTGCTAAAACCTTTATTCTTGGGAGTTGAGAGCTGAAATTTTCAGAGGATGTTTATGGCATACTTTCCATCACGTGCACCAAGTTTCTCGTCATTTCAATTAATATTTTGGATTTTTTAGCCCTTTTTCGTCAAATTTGCATATTTTGAGAAAAGTGAGGGTTAGGGCTTGAGACCTTTTCGCGTTTTTTGAAGCACCATTTCATTGAATGTAGACAAGTTATACATCGTTGGAAAGGTCGTGTTGAGAACTACAACTTGAGGTGTTCAAAAGTATTGAAATAATTACTGGGCATGCGCTGGAGACCGTAAAAGCTCGAAAAAAGGGCTGTTTTTATTCTTTTTTTGCAGGGCTAAAAAACCTACAAAATCAAACGAAATTCTCACGAAATGATATACACATGATTGCTCATTTCCATAACAATGGTTTGTTGTAATTGGCATAGAAAAGGGTCCATTGGAGATTTTTTATGAATTTTCTTATAAAACGGGTCTCATATGTACGCTATGCGGACCTATGCTTTTATCTTTAAAAATTCGTAAAAAATTTCCTTTTTATCGGTTTTTCGTTAAACTTACACCAATGTCATTCCAATTGAAAGTACTTTTGATTAAAATTAAAAAAAAGATTGATTTTTCTTACCCTTTTCGTCTTCTTTTACACGCCATGAATCTTAAGCGTTTCTAACCATTTGCCAAATACTTACACATACAATGGAACAGTTTCCGTACTTAACGCCTGCTACGTTTGAAGGCCGGAACAATGATGGTTTTTGAGTGACAGTAGATTAAATGAGTGCCTGTCCATTTCACGATTACCCTATTTTCGCCTAGCTCCTGACGTTTGAAAAATTCTAAAAAATTAACAAAACATTGACTTTACCTCATTTGACCAGCATCAAATAGAACATAAGAGGACGTTTTGTACCATGTTAAATTCCATTTGAAATTTTAATATTAAATATTTGCTGTGATTGACAGAAGTCAACCCTAATTGACAGGTAGCAATCAACATAATTTTTTTACTACGATAAAGGTGGCTGTATCGCCATGGGGTATTTTATTTGCACCAAGTGCGCCGAACTTTGTTATACAGTACAGGGTGAATCAGTACAAATCTTTTCTCGCTATATTTTATGTCGATTTTGTATTCATAATTTATTGTTCGAACCTGAAAAGTATGGGGAGACAGTGCGGGAGCAGAAAGAACAAGTCAGGAAAAGGGGGAGGGAAGAAGAAGAAGAAGATGTC